GCAGGAACTCATTTGTTGAATTAAAACTCTTTCATTACTGCATTTTTTTCTCCTTTTTTTTTTTTTTTTTTTGGTGGCATGTGTTTTCAGTATTAGAATGCCTGCTTATTAATTGAGTGTGTTTAAATTTTTGGTTGGTGCTATGGATTTTGAGAAATACGATCCGGTAATACAAGCCACCTATGAGGCGAGTGGCACTGTGGCGCCACCGATCTGAGGTATGACAGTATACCAACGAGAGCCACAGAAATAATTTATTGTGGCCGCCTTTCTATCAGGTTACATGGGGAACCTCTGGTTTTCCAAATATGACACAGAAAAACCAAATCAAACCCATTAGGGCTCCCTAACTATCACACCGGAAAGCCCTAATTATGCTCGCAAGCCTTAGCTCACAGAAATAAAGGAAGAGGGGCAAAAGGTTACAAAACTAACACATCCAGGAAGCATCGCCTGATAGAATGCTCAACCTCCACAACAATGAGGCTCCAGCTCCGGTCTGCTCAGCTTCACACATTTCAAAGGGGACCCACCTTGATGCTAAATGCATTAGAACCAGAATAAGGCCTTACCTCTGAGGTCCGAGGCATAAAAAGTGGCAGGTATACCATTAACCCAGTGGTAATGAGAGAGTTTTAATTGAATTAAATTATTTTATGTTTAGAAAAAGTCACCAGATGAAGTAGTATATTCACAAATCAGCTATAAAGTATTACGCTAAGTATGCTTCCTTCTGTTATACATAGGGTCGCTATGAGTCAGAAGCGACTCGACGGCACCTAACAAGTATGATGTACAGTATAATGTATTATGATAGTAAAGCTCCCCTGTTGTCATTTCTGGTGATTTTACCACCTTTAGCTTTCTGTCATGATGAATACTCTAAAACCTGCTCTTCTGTATCTTCTCAAGTAGCTTTTCTGACTCAAAGATTTAAACAGGTCTATTAAAGTGTTTTTTTTAAATGTTAATTTCTTGAAATCTTTGTTACCAATAGAAATGGTACTTTGCCTGGTCATTGCTGCTTCAGCACATTGACTATTTTATGAGTTTTGTAGCGTCTTCCTGACCGAGCTTTAGGCACCACTGTCTTCTGGACAGATGTTTACTTTGTTTACTTTTTCTTTTTTTCCCCAGCTTTTTTTTTGTTTTTAATTGTACTTCAGGTGAAGGCTTACAGAACAAATAGTTGCTCATGAAACAGAAGTACACATGTTGTTTTATGACATTGGTTAACAACCCCACAAC